CTAATTTTTCAGAATTTTTGGAGTTAGAGAAGTATTCGAAAGTTACAAATTGTTCTGTTTTTGACAGATTCTATTTTTCATGTGTTGTTTGCTTATTTTGCTGAATCTATGAGTAGTATCGAGGGGTATGAACCATAGAGAAGTTGGAATACAGTAGGTTTAACACCAATATAAATAAAGAATGAGTTCATTACAGTACCTTAAAGTGGTGGTTTATTTTCTTATACTAACGGAGCTCATGAGATTTTCTGTTGAAGTTTTGTGTTGTGAAGTTTTCAAGTTTTGGGGTAAAGATTTGATGGATTTTGGAATAAGGAGTGTCAAGAGTCTAAGCTTGGGGATACCCAAGGAACCCCAAGGTAAAATTCAAGGACAAACAAAAGCCTAAGCTTGGGGATGCCCCGAAAGGCATCCCCTATTTCGTCTTCGTCTATTGGTAACTTTACTTGAGGCTATATTTTTATTCACCACATGATATGTGTTTTGCTTGGAGCGTCTTGTATTATTTGAGTCTTGGCATTTTATTTTACCACAATCACCCTTGCTGTACACACCTTTTGGGAGAGACACGCATGAATGGAATTTATTAGAATACTCTATGTGCTTCACTTATATCTTTTGAGCTAGATAATTTTGCTCTAGTGCTTCACTTATATCTTTTTAGAGCATGGTGGTGGTTTTATTTTATAGAAATTATTGATATCTCATGCTTTACTTATATTATCTTGAGAGTCTTTTATAATAGCATGGTAATTTGCTTTGGCTATAAAATTAGTCCTAATATGATGGGCATCCAAGATGGGTATAATAAAAACTTTCATATAAAGTGCATTGAATACTATGATAAGTTGGATTCCTTATGATTGTTTTGAGATATGAAGATGGTGATATTAGAGTCATGTTAGTTGAGTAGTTGTGAATTTGAGAGATACTTGTGTTAAAGTTTGTGATTCCCGTAGAATTCACATATGGTGAACCGTTATGTGATGAAGTCGGAGCATGATTTATTTTTTGATTGTCTTCCTTATGAGTGGCGGTCAAGGACGAGCGATGGACTTTTCCTACCAATCTATCCCCCTAGGAGCATGCGCGTAGTAATTTGTTTCGATAACTAATAGATTTTTCCAATAAGTATGTGAGTTCTTTATGACTAATGTTGAGTCCATGGATTATACGCACTCTCACCCTTCCATCGTTGCTAGCCTCTCTAGTACCGCGCAACTTTCACCGGTACCGTAAACCCACCAATTACCTTCCTCAAAACAGCCACCATACCTACCTATTATGGCATTTCCATAGCCATTCCGAGATATATTGCCATGCAACTTTCCACCGTTCCGTTTATTCTGACACGCTTCATCATTGTCATATTGCTTTGCATGATCATGTAGTTGACATCGTATTCGTGGCAAAGCCACCTTCATAATTCTTTCATACATGTCACTCTTGATTCATTGCACATCCCGGTACACCGCCGGAGGCATTCACCTAGAGTCATATTTTGATCTAAGTATCGAGTTGTAATTCTTGAGTTCTAAGTAAATAAAACTATGATGGTCATCATTATTAGAGCATTGTCCCATGTGAGGAAAGGATGATGGAGACTATGATTCCCCCACAAGTCGGGATGAGACTACGGACAAAGAAAAAAAGTGGCCATAAAAAGGCCCAAATAAAAAAATGAGAGAAACAGAGAGAAGAGGCAATGCTACTATCCTTTTTCCACACTTGTGCTTCAAAGTAGCACCATGATCTTCATCATAGAGAGTCTCCTATGTTGTCACTTTCATATACTAGTGGGAATCTTTCATTATAGAACTTGGCTTGTATATTCTAAAGATGGGCTTCCTCAAAATAACCTAGGTCTTCGTGAGCAAGCGATTTGGATGCACACCCACTTAATTTCTTTTTGAACTTTCAGACACTTATAGCTCTAGTGCATCCATTGCATGGAAATCCCTACTCACTCACATTGATATCTATTGATGGGCATCTCCATAGTCATCAATATGCCTAGTTGATGTGAGACTATCTTCTCCCTTTTGTCTTCTCCACAAGCACCATTCTATTCCACCTATAGTACTATCTCCATGGCTCACGCTCATGTATTGCGTGAAGATTGAAAAAGTTTGAGAACATTAAAAGTATGATACAATTGCTTGGCTTGTCATCGGGGTTGTACATGATTTAAATATTTTGTGTGATGAAGATAGAGCATAGCCAGACTATATGATTTTGTCGGGATAGCTTTCTTTGGCCATGTTATTTTGAGAAAACATGATTGCTTTATTAGTATGCTTGAAGTATTATTATTTTTATGTCAATATTAAACTTTTGTTTTGAATCTTTCGGATCTGAACATTCATACCACAATAAAGAAAATTACATTGATAATTATGATAGGTAGCATTCCACATCAAAAAATATTGTTTTTATCATTTACCTACTCGAGGACGAACAGGAATTAAGCTTGGGGATGCTTGATACGTCTCCAACGTATCTATAATTTTTTATTGTTCCATGCTATTATATTATCTGTTTTGGATGTTTAATGGGCTTTAATATGTTCTTTTATATTATTTTTGGAACTAACCTATTAACCAGAGGCCCAGTGTCGGTTTCTTTTTTTTGTGCCTATTTTAGAGTTTCGCAGAAAAGGAATACCAAACGGAGTCCAAACGTAATGAAACCTTCGCGATAATCTTTCTTGGACCAAAGCAATCCAAAAGACTTGGAGTCGAAGTCTGGAACTCCACGAGGCGGCCACGAGGCAGGAGGGCGCGCCCAGGGCGTAGGTGCGCCCCCATCCTCGTGGGCCCCTCGTAACTCCACCGACGTACTTATTTCGCCTATATGTACTCTTATACCCTAGAAACATCGCAGAGAGCCACGAAACCACTTTTCCATCGCCGCAACCTTCTGTACCCGTGAGATCCTATCTTGCGGCCTTTTCCGGCGATCTGCCGGAGGGGGAATCGTTCATGGAGGGATTCTACATCAACACCATAGCCTCTCCGATGAAGCGTGAGTAGTTTACCACAGACCTTCGGGTCCATAGTTATTAGATAGATGGCTTCTTCTCTCTCTTTGATTCTCAATACAAAGTTCTCCTCGATGTCCTTGGAGATCTATTCGATGTAATACTCTTTTGCGGTGTGTTTGCCGAGATCCGATGAATTGTGGGTTTTATAAACAAGATTATCTATGAATATTATTTGGTTCTTCTCTGAATTCTTATATGCATGATTTGATATCTCTGCAAGTCTCTTCGAATTATCGATTTAGTTTGGCCTACTAGATTGATCTTTCTTGCAATGGGAGAAGTGCTTAGCTTTGGGTTCAATCTTACGGTGTCCTTTTCCAGTGACAGTAAGGGCAGCAAGGCACGTATTGTATTGTTGCCATCGAGGATAAAAGATGGGGTTTAAATCATATTGCTTGAGTTTATCTCTCTACATCATGTCATCTTGCTTAATGTGGTATTATGTTCTTATGAACTTAATACTCTAGATGCATGCTGGATAGCGGTCGATGTGTGGAGTAATAATAGTAGATGCAGAATCGTTTCGATCTACTTGACACAGACGTGATGCCTATATTTATGATCATTGCCTTAGATATCTTCATAACTATGCGCTCTTCTATCAATTGCTCGACAGTAATTTGTTCATCCACCGTAATACATGCTATCTTGAGAGAAGCCACTAGTGAAACCTATGTCCCCCGGGTCTCTTTCTTATTATATTGCATCTCTTTTATTTACATCGCATCTCGTTTACTATTTTACAATCTTTACTTACCAATCTATGCAACAAAAATACCAAAAATATTTACTTTACTATCTTTATTAGATCTCACTTTTGCGAGTGACAGTGAAGGGATTGGCAACCCCTTTATCGCGTTGGTTGCAAGGTTCTTGATTGTTTGTGCACGTACTAGGTGACTTGTGTGTTGTCTCCTACTGGATTGATACCTTGGTTCTCAAAACTGAGAGAAATACTTACGCTACTTTGTTGCATCACCCTTTCCTCTTCAAGAGAAAACCAACACATGCTCAAGAGGTAGCACCGACCCCAACGCAGCCGCCCAGCCCGAGTGATGATGCCACGACGACGCCCAGCACAGAAGCCACGCCGACGCCGAACAGCCCGAGCACAGAAGTCGCGCCGATGCCGAACACACCTACGCCGGCCAGCCCCATGCCGGAGGAGCCCGTCGCTTGATGCATTCCTTTGTCTATGTGTCCTTCCTTCTGAACGCCGAACTTTCGAGTATGTTTGATCGCCGAACTTTGTGGCAGATCGCCGTTGACTGCCGAACTTGTGGCGTTTTTTTGGCAGCGGGAAAAGACTGTTTTGAATTTATGTGCGTCTTGGGGCCGAAACCTGGGGGCGCAGCTGGGAACTGTATCGCCCCTAGAGCGAAAAAACCGCCGGCGCATGGGCCCAACCGCAATCGCCGGGTGCGCTGGGGGGCCGAACGAGTGGAGATGCTCTTAGCACGATGACTTTCTAATTGTCTACTACAACAAGTTGTGTCCGACTCCGGCGATGGAGGGGCGATGACAGCGGCACGCCTTCGACTCGCTGTGCATGTAATCATCGCTAAGTGGTCTACGAATCTGGATATAATTTTTATTTTTTTTGATGTTCGTTGTACTACCATGATTGAAGATGAATAGATCGAAAGTTTACGAGAAAAAAATTATTTCCCAAACCAACACATACAAAGGTCCAGCAAGTGGTACAAAGCAACGGGATGCTGCGGGAGATTCGCTCAGTTGCCAATCGGACGCGCGCGAGGCAGAGCGTGCTAATACTTGTATACTTGTCATTTGTCAGGGGTTTGTTAGGCGGGCGTGTTTGGTATGTTGTGTTTGCCAAAGCGCCGGTGATAGATGTATCTGCTCTATATAAGGCGCGCGTCCCTGCTATCGAGACGTGCGCTTCCCAACCATCTTCACATAGCGAGCCGCCGTTTGCCCAAGCACATCGCCGGTGATGGACTCTGCGCCTACGCTGTCGGTGCACGTCCTTGTGTTCCCTTGGCCACGGCAGGGACTCATCAACCCCATGCTCCACCTCGCCACGGCCCTCCTTGACGCCGGCGTCCACGTCACCTTCCTCCACACCGAGCACAACCTCTCCAGGATTGCCAGGGCGCCTCCGCCGCGCCTACGTTTGCTGTCTATCCCCGATGGCCTCCCCGACGACCACCCACGCCACTACATGGAGCTGATGGAGTCCATGTGCACGACCGGCAGCGCCGCGTACCGTGCCCTGCTCTTGTCATCGCTTCTGTCCGCCGACGATGTGCCGCCGGTGACATGCGTTGTCGCCGATGGCACCATGCCGTTCGCCAGCGACATCGCCGACGAACTCGGCATCCCGGCGCTTGCCTTCTGCACATTCAGCGCGTGCAGCTCCCTGGCGTTCATGTCCATGCCTAAGGTCTTCGAGCTCGGCGAGAACCCCTTCCCTGCGGACGACCCAGTGTGTGGCGTTTTGGGGATGGAGGGCATTCTCCGGCGACGAGATCTTCCTCGTGGTCCTGGACTCTGTTCCACTGAGCAAGCAGGCGGCGGAGATCCCATGATACTCAAGATTGGCGAGGGCGTCGCTCATAGCTGCAAGGCACGTGCGCTGATAATCAACACCTCCGCGTCCATGGAGCGGCCAGCGCTCGCCCACATCGCGTCGTGCACACGCGACGTCTTCGCGGTAGGTCCACTCCACGCCAGCTCGAGGTCCGCGGCAAGCGCGAGCCTGTGGCGGGAGGACGACGGGTGCATGGCGTGGTTAGACGGCCACGGCGACCGGTCCGTCGTATACGTGAGCCTGGGGAGCATCGCCGTGATCTCGTACGAGCAGTTCACCGAGTTCCTCTCCGGCCTCGCAGCCACCGGGTACGCCTTCCTCTTGGTGCTTCGGCCGGGCATGGTCCAGATGGCTAGCTCAGCGCTACTTCGAGAAGCCGTCGCGGTGGCGCAAGCCGGCAAGGCCAATATAGTGGAGTGGGCTCCTCAGCTGGACGTGCTGCGGCACAGAGCGGTGGGCTGCTTCCTGACACACGCCGGTTGGAACTCCACGCTGGAATGCGCCGTCGAGGGCGTGCCGATGGTGTGCTGGCCCTTCTTCCTCGACCAACAGATGAACAGCCGTCTCGTGGGCGCCGTGTGGAGGACGGGGCTGGACATGAAGGACGTGTGCGACAGGGCTGTCGTCGAGAAGATGGTGAGGGAGGCCATGGTGTCCGGCGAGATCAAGGCAGCGGCCCAAGCCATGGCGGAGCAGTTGAGCCTGGACATCGCCGACGGGGGCTCATCGTCATCCGAGTTAGGGCGGCTCGTCCGCTTCATCAGAGAGCTCAGCATCAAGTCTGGTCCAGAGCCAAGAATTACTTAAGTGAAAATTAGTATGGCTGTTTCCAAGGGGGTGAAATGTGTCAAAAATTTCAAAATGGGGATAACAAGTGACCAAACTTGTACTTTGGGGGTAATCCATGTCAAAAGTGTCATCCTTGAGGGTAAAAAAATGGAATAAACTCTCAGCTTTTTGGTAAAAAAAATATTTCTTTACTATTTTTGTTTGCTCTCTCAAAAAAAAGCGGCAACCTTTTTGGTAAACACTTAACCGTTCGTAATTTGGAAGTGCGCTATGTAATTATGTTGTCTTTATTGTTTTTGTTTATACCATTTGTTGGATATTATCATCATTGCCCAACCTTTTTCCATACAAGTGTTGTTAAAATATGGATTGTTCTAGTGGAAACGGCTAGAAAATCTATGTCTCTTGCGAAGGAAAAATGTGTCCAAGATGAGAACCAATCATGCACTATAAAGCGATACCTTGCATAGTAGGTCTATTTGTTGCGAAAATTCATTATGAGTTATATACTACTATATGATACTATTATCTAGACCACTCGAATATTATGGGACGTATTGCGCTGCCTTCTTTATGCTCGAGATTGCACAGTGCTAGCCTTGTTTTTTTGTTGTCATTAATGAGACCCAATCGTTTTCGTCCTCTACGGTCTCCCTCGCTATAGTCTTTTTTCCTAGACCGTCTTACTGTTGCACATGGCTGGCCAACATGTTTACGTCTCATTAGTGACTTGGTGGGCTAGTCGTATCTTGGAAAAGCAAGTATAATAAAATAACATAAACGGGCTGTAAGGATCTAAATATTATATCTTTGCTAACTTAGAAAAGAGAGAAAAAAAGAGAGAAGAGTAGCGGGTTGTAGACTTACAGCCGGCTGTAGCACGTGTTGGCTATTATAAAAACTTATGTGAGAATGTATGATGGGCCATATGATAAAAAAAATAATACTTTCTTGTAGCCCACTATTATACGTGTTGGCTATTATATTGGCTATAGATGACATGGCAAGATGTTATAGCCAGCAACATGCTATATCATTAACCATGCTCGAAGCCACCTTCTCCCTTATTTATTTTGCCTTTTGTCACCTCCCGTGTACTCGTCCCCTTCCTTCAGTCCCCTTCCCGTTAAAAAAAGCTTGAACTATCTGTCTTTCAATTTATTTAAACAGCTACTGAGCTACACACATTATTTCTAAAGTGGCTACTTTGTGTAGGACATCGGGATACCGATTGCCAGTTCCCAATGTTTCAAACAGGATTAGGGAAGCATGTTGCTGTGAGCTGGAGCTCAGTTCAGAAGGCAAGGGCAGTATTGGAGGAAAGAAAAAATTAAAACAACTGGCACATAAACATACGGGCTTATTATTTATTTGTCCAAAGTTAGTGCAGAAGATCAGCATTTTTCTTTGTATTCTTTGAGATTCAGGACGTGGAGATACCAGTGATTGTGCCACAACTCTTCCGACTGAAACGCCAACGTATGTTTTGATGAGCAGCAGTTTGACCGTGAGCCGTAGAGGTGTTACTCCGAAGGAAGATAGTGCAATGCAAGGTACTTGATTTTCTCAAGTTGACTATAAAAGCGAGAAGTCCACATTTTAATCCTGAACTAACCAGTCAGATTGATTTACAACCCTCATGTTTAAAACCAGTCGAATTGCACCCTCAACTTGTCACATAGTTCAAAATACAACCCATGACTCGGTTTTGGTCAGGTCAACCGGTTTTGACTGAGTCAAATATGACTAAGCACGCCAGCTCACAAAAAAAAGGAAGAGCTTCCTTAAGAGGGCATCTGCAGTTCTTGAGCCAATGAATATTGCAAAGGAATTGGAAGGTAAATTGCTCTCTAAACACACATCACGGTTTAGTAACAAGTGTGCTTAAGAATGCTTAAGCACCTTCTCTAGCTATCTATCTTGACTTGTCCAAATTCTTTCTTGCTATATCACAAAAACTTGAACAAGTCTCTTTCGGACCCTCCGGGTGAGGAACCCTTGGAGCCACCGATCCGACTAGCACTAACCTCCAAAACCTTCTAAGTGATTTTCGGACAGACCAATTCATAACCATCCGGTCTCATGGAAACCACTTGGACTGATCTGATTTTCTATCTCAGAGATACCGACTTGAAATTCCCGGCGTCACCGAGTTGTAGTGCTCATAACAGTTACTCATCTCGGTGCCACCGATGTGTTTCGCTCGGTCTCACCGATAGCTCACGGGTATATATGTATTGCGCGGACCGTACGTTGAAATTCCTCAACTATCACGACTCCCCGCAACCCGTTGCGCCATCGCATGTGGTCCCTGGATCATCTACTGGTCTCCATCGCGCCCTCGCCGCCGTAAAGGATCTCCACCGAGGATTTGATCACGTAGTGCTTCAAACCTCTAATTATATGCACTAGAGTACTTGCACCCGCAAATTTCCCACGGATTGAAATTTCTATTTCAAGCAAAATTTTGTAGAAGTAGATTTGAGCGGAAAAAATCAGGGTTAGGTTTGCGCAGAGATCATCTTGGACAGACCGAACAGAGAGAATCAGACTCACCGATTTGGCCTTAGACCATTGCACACTGTACGTCTCGGTGCCACTGAGTGGTACACATCGGTGGATCCAAGTCTAAGGTTTTTGTAGAACCCTAGCTTGTCGAAGAGACCGAAACACACCTCGGTCTGACAGAGTCTGTGTGGCCAACTCTCTATTATAGCTTCGGTGCTACCGAAATTATCCACTCGGACTCTTCGAAATCATCTATGTGAAAACCTAAAACTGAAATTTTTACTCAAAATTTTGCAAAAATGTTGTGTTTTTGTGATGCTCATTCATTCCACTCTACCCCATCTACTTCAGAGGTGCAGGTTTCAGTATGTCAGCCTCCAGTGACAGCTAGAACAGGTCAAAGGAGCAGGCTGATCTCAATGCAGGCTCTAGTCCTTAAGGGAGTTACTATGAAGGAGTCAAGAGTTCTCCAAAGCTGCCACCAGGTCCAAGAAGAAGGAAAATTCAGATGATGATTATGAGGACTTTGTTGCTGAAGAAGCAACATCAAAGCCAAAGAAAGTTGTGCTTGCTAAAGAGTATGGTACTGGTACTAGCACCAGGGATTTTGAAAGTTGGAGTTTTTGAATCTTTTCATGGGGACTTAAAACACTTGGGTACCCTTGGCTTTCATCCAAGTGCCTCATCTCCCTCTCTAAGCATCATTTTCTCTCTGGTTCACCTCATAATAATATTTGAAATATTTTTCTTTAATGAAAAATATTCATTTCCTTCCCTTAAACCCTAGCTAGATCAATGTCCTCCAAAGCAACCTCAATTTTTCATGCCCACAAAAATATGAGAAAAATCACAAATATTCTTTGAACCCTAGGGCAACTTCCTGAGCAAAAATATTGCACCACTTTTTGGAATATTTTTTCTATAGAAAATATTTTCTGTTCCAGACAGAAATGGTGGTTTCTATAGCAACTACCATTTTACTTACTCCAATGAGGCTGATTTTTCTTGTGCGTCATCACCTTAGTAGATGATTTCTAGCCTCCAAAACCCAGCCCCAAACTCCCAGCCGTTTGACCTCAGTAAACTCTTAAAGCTACTGATCAGAAACTTACTTGGCTTGTAAAATCTTTTCTACTGCGTCTGGATCCAAACCAAAGTGTGGTAAACTTTAAAACTACCACGAACAACAAGTCAGACATGAACTTTGGACGTAGGCCGGCCTGAGTGCAAAGTTCACATGGTGACCACGCATGTACACGATGCCAGCCAGCGTGTCGACGCGCTCTGGGTGCCACCGAGCGCTCTGTTTCGCGCGTGCTCGCTTCCCCGAGTGCCAAAGCGTGCCAAACCTCGCCACCATCTTCGTCCCAACCCCCTTAACTCTCCCCTGGCACTCGTCGACGCCGGAGCTCGCCGCAGCGAGCACGGGCACGGTCCGGCCAACGTAATAGTGTGGTGTGCACTATGCTCGTCGCCTTCTCCTCGATCATGTACTCGTCCCCGTTCGCCCACAGTCCCCACATGAGCTGCGTCGCCTTCTCCCCCTCTCATTGATGCTGCTCGTCGTCGGGCGCCGTGTCCAGGTGTCGACGGCAGAGCCCGATCCCCCCCTCGTTGCTCGCCTATAAATGAAGCCACCCCCAGCCTCCTCGAGCACCATCCTCCACTCCCACACACCCCGCAACAACGTAGGAAACCGTAGCCCAGCCGGGCAGGCCGCGGGCCGCCGTCCCCGAGATCGAGCTCACCGGCGATCCTCTCGGGTCGCCACGGTAGCTCCAGCCCCTCCCAGGCCTGGGCAATCCTTCCAGGGCCTCCGCCACTCTCCGGTGGTGTTGTTCCGCCTGGTTGAAGCCCCTGGAGTCACCGCTGTTCACCATCGTCTTCGTCTCCGGCGACCTCCGCTCTTTGCCTCCGCTTGCGAGGTCGATTCCGACGCCGTCCGACCACCCCTAGCTACGCTACAGGTACGGGCAGGTGCGCCTCCATCCCCTCTCTCTATCCCTCCCTCTCATTTTGGCCAAGGAGCCCTCATCGCCGGCGTGAGCTCTGGCGAAGCCGTACCCTCCTATGTTCCCTTCTCCCTCTTCCCCCACCTGACTAGTGGGGCCCGCTAGTCAGCCACTCAGTACGCGCGCGAAGCGGTACGAGTGGTGGCGCCCCGAGGCTTTACGCCTTTGACCTCACCCCCTGTCTGTTTTATTTAAATTCAAATTTCATTTATATCCAGAGAGATTCAAACAGCTATAACTCTTCAACCATACGTCCAACTGAATTGATTCTTTTTGCATTGTGTTCTTTGCAAAGAAATCTAGCAGCTCACCAAAAATGGGATTTCCCCTGCTGTCTAGATTTTCTGGTGATTTTCAGAAGGGTTCTTGATATTTTCTTTTTGTGTTTAAATGTATTTTCAGAGAGTGAAGCTTGTCTTGAGGAACACCAGAGGGCTTGTGAACCTCATCTGCACTAAGGCAAGCCACAGCAACATTTTCATGATGCCACTTCAATAT